GTCAACATGGATTGATCAAATACTCCATGTTGAACGACCGGAAACGGACATTGACTCAGGACTCCGCTGGTGAAGTTGTTCTGTGGGATTTGCTCAAGGTATTATCGCCAGTTCTTCAATTGCGGTGACCGCTCTAACCCACCACTAGTGTAAACCAATCCAATCTTTCGGTAAGAGACATATGGACGATGTCGCGTCCGAGATCAACACAACCGAGAGCATCGCTCACTGGTGTACCATCGACATTCGAACCGGGCGTCTTTCCGTGATTCTGGAGCCTGGCCGTTGCTTCGATGCTGAAGTGTATGCCGACGAGTCGGATCTGGCGGATCAGTCGCAATTTCGGGAAGACCAAAGGAGTAAGTTGTTTCCCTTTCGCAGGGTTCCAGGTACTGACAATAATAGTTAATCTTGGAAAATGGATTCTGCGTTGGCTATTCGCACCTCTGGTGCAAGAGCACGTTCAACGGGACGCCCAGTTCCGTGCTGCGATGGTAGCCAAGGCGGAAGAATTGGCTCGCTTGACCAGCACTGGCGCGTCAGCCCCGGTCGACATTCCATCGGCAGATCCCTCGAGGCTGGTGCTGGGCTTGCAGTCGCCTCTAGACCCCTTCACAGCCACTTTTAGGTCTGGTTACGATTCGATCGGTAGCCCTACGACACCCGGCGGGTTCGGCATCGGGTATGCCGGCAGCCCGGCGACTATGGGATCACCCATGTGGACTTCCAGTTACATCAACAATGCGAGTCACCTGGGCACCTCTCCTGGAGATTCGACGTCGGAATATCTCATGTCGCAGTCGCAGCAGAATGCGGACATGACCCGGGCCTCTTTCTCGGACCGCTCCAGCGACTACTTTTCATCGTCACGAAACCAGGGTATGGGCTCGCTCGACACCGATAAGGTGCCGACTACCCCAGGCGAGCCGACCCCGACGGCTCTCCCGCAGTCTCCGGTCGAGCCCGACAAGGAGGAGCGGAAGCGCGGTGCGTCGTTATTTGGGAAGAAGTTCCGCATGGATTTCCCCAAGAAGCTGGGGCGGACCTCATCGGAGGTCAAGCCGCAGGTCCCAGAGGAGAAGGTGGAGGAGTCGGATAAGTCGTCGATCAAGGAAGAGAAGGTGTTTGAGACTAACCTGGGAGGGTTCATTGAGCGAACGCGGCACGAGTATGAGGAGTTCATGTCTGCCAACCCTGGCCGGGAGTTGACGTCGGCGTTCACTCCGAGCCCAGATAATGAGACTCCGGTCCTGGACATACCCCCGCGCACAGTGGTATTTATTCAAGAGGAATCGGGTGATACGGCTGTGGCGTCTGATCTGTACCGAGGGACGGTTGGCCGGATCAGCGAGGAGATCGACAAGCTGGAGAAGTCGATACCCTTATGGCTTGCTGAGCTGCTCCTGAAGGTAAGCACTTAGCTAGTATTTGCCGGTCAGCGACTCACAACCTACAGAACCAAGTGCCAGTGAAAGAACCGGTCAAAATTGCTTTCACACTGAAGCCATACGATGATCTATTGCCCCCTGTAGCCAAACCAGAGTACGTATCCTTTTTTTTGGTCTTGTTCGAGCGAAGCTAATGAGAAAGGCCGCCCGGGAGCCCCAATGCCAACAACAATCGCCTCAACGCGAATCGCATGCTGCGCGCCAAGAAAATCCTGGCCTACGTGGCGGAGCGGATCGATCCTCCCAACCCCCACGAGCCGGAAGCAAACCCCATGAAAGCCGAGGAGTATCTGGAGCTGTATTGCCAGAGGATGGTACGTTTCCGGCCCCCCCCGGGTGTCACCGCATCGACATGGCTAACGGGCCCAGCCCATCCCCCCGAACATGACTCTGGCGACGATCCGGGCGCACATCTGGCGATCCTCGGGCGACATGGTCCTGTACTACAAGGCCAACGGGAAGAAGGAGATCCGCATGCCGGCGCCCGAGGAGGAGAAGGAGACTGGGACTGGGCTTGGGACGGCGTTGGCGCTGAATCGCGAGGCGGGCAGTGCGCCCCCGGCCAGCATTCGGTCGCACGCGGCTTCGGGCTCGGCGGTCTCGGTCAGCAATGCTTAGGGGGTGGAGGATTTCCTGTTAATAGTTGGTTGGGCTCGTCTGATGATGGGCCGGTACATACACCTGTGGATTTGCGATACCAAGATATTGTGCGATCTGCGCAGCGAATTGATTTTGATATTGTGGATGTTGGATTATAAACATAAAGTACTCATAATAACTCGTAGTTGTGACACTGCATAGTAGGTTGACTATAGAATGCAGCGATAAACGATGCCAAGAGCGGCAATCTGATCATATCAACTCATACACTATCAATTTCGCTCTTCCGCTCTTCCGTCATCCTCCCCATCAACATTTTGAGTGTTTGGTCCCTTGGCCAGCCATGGCCATTTCCGAAATACTGCACCACAAGAAACCCACTGCAATAACTGTCTCACAGTTCGTAAACTCTTTCCAGCGAATATGGCACGACTCAAGGACGCGCGGGGGCCAGCGAGCGCGGAACACCCGTTTCCCATCCCGACTAGGTGCGTCCTTCCCCAGCCTCCACTTGGCCAAAGAGAAACTAACAAAACACAGGCCTAGCCATCAGCGGCGGCGCCGACAGCATGGCGCTGGCCTACCTGTGCCGCGAATGGGAGAAATCCACTCCTGAGGTGACCGTGACAGCCTTCATCGTGGACCACCGCGCGCGCGAGGAGAGCTCACGCGAGGCCGCCACCGTCGCCTCCTGGCTCGCAGACATGAACATCACCACGCACATCCTGCCGCTCGACTGGTCCAGCCTGACCACAAGTCCGCAGACCCTTCCCGCCTTCGAAACCCACGCCCGCCGCCTCCGCTTCCAAGCCCTGGGCCGCGCCGGCCGCGCCGCGGCCATCGACGCCCTCCTGACGGGCCACCACCGCGACGACGCCGTCGAGACCACGCTGTGGCGGCTGTGCACGGGCGCACGCGGCGCCGGGCTCGCCGGGATTCCGGAATGCACGGGCATCCCCGAGTGTCATGGGATGTTTGGGGTGGTGGGGAGTCGGGGAGTGGAGTTGTTGAGATCCGCATACCCTGGCCCTTATCCTTCCCATTCCCGTCCCCGGGTGGGTTATGGCCAGCAGCAGCAGCAGCAGACAGCGCCAATGGCCACCGGAACCCTCCCCATCATCCGCCCGCTCCTCGCCTTCCCCAAATCCGACCTTCTGGCTACCTGCGCCACTCACGAAATTCCGTTCGTCTCCGACCCGACGAATTTCGATCCCACGCTGACGCCCCGTAATGCCATACGGAGTCTGTTGGCACAACAAAAGTTGCCGCGGGCGCTGCGCGAGGGATCCGTGTTGGGATTGATGGGGGCGAGTCGTCGACTTATCAGGACGGCTGAGGAGGAGTCCGAGCGGCTGTTGCGGTTGTGTGGGGTTGGGGGGTTCGTGCCGGAGACGGGGATCCTGGGTGTTAGGTTCCCTTCGCTTGCATCTTGCGGTGATTCTGTTGGTGGGAGTGAGGGTCAGGGTGATGCTGCTGTTGAGCGAAGTGTACACACCCAAATACAAGCCCTCGCCCTCCGCCGCATCACGGAGCTCGTCTCCCCGTTCCCGGATAATCACTTCCCGCTGCGCGCGTTCGAGCCGTTTGTGGCGAGGGTGTTTCGGGGCAAGCAGGAGCAGGAGCAGGAGGAGCAGCCGTTCACGCTGGGCGGCGTCTTGTTCCAGCCCCTGTCGTTGTCCCAGGCCCAGAAGAAGAAGGGCGAGGAGAGTTTATTTCTGAGAGCTGCTGCAGCTCCCGCCCAAGGGTCTGATGCCCCCAAGAACAGCAACGGCAACAACCAAAACACATGGCTCCTCTCCCGCCAACCGTACATGAAGAACCGGCTCCCGGTTCTGGACTTCCACCTCTGCACGGAGGGATCCGTCACCACTACTGAACGGCAGGAGCAGGAGCGAGAGCAAGAGCAGGAGCAAGAGCAAGAGCAGGAGCAGGAGCAGGAGCAAGAGCAATGGCACCTCTGGGATAACAGATACTGGTTCCGCGTGGGCTGGTCCAGCAGCAGCAGCAGCAGCAGCTCCGCACCACCAAAATCAAACCCCAACCCCAACCCCAACCCCGGAATCAGTTCTCAAAACCCAGAACCCCCGAAAATCCACCTCCGCCTCCGCCCCCTCCAGAAATCAGATCTCAGCATCCTCCGCCAGTTAATCCCAACACAAACCGCCCACCACCACGATCTCAGCAAGCACATCAACAAGACTGACGGGGAGCATACCCTTTCACAGACGGAAACGAAACCGAAGACCGGAGCGGACCGTGATACCAACACCGATGGTGATAGCGATGATGTACAAGACAGAAACCAGAAAGGAAGAATAGCAGACCCCAAAGCCCTCACCCGCCTCCTCGCGCAGGTCAGCCCCGGACGCACGCGGTTCACTATCCCCGTGCTGGTGCAGGTGCTTGTTCGGCGGCGGCAGCAGCAGCAGCAGCAGCAAACCGTCACTGTCGAGGATGGGCAAGAGGAAGTAGATATCTCGACAGTCGCGGCCCCGGTCTCGGGTACAACAACAACAACACACACACATACAAGCACAAGCACAAGCACAAGCACAACCCCACCTCTACCTCCCACTACCGCAACAAATACAACTCCAACTTCACATCCGTATCCGACTTCCCCACCATCCCCATCCCCAAACCAAATTCCCAACTCGCAACAGGGGTGGAACACGCCCAAGACACAGGCGCCACCACCACCAGCGGCAAAAGAGGAAGAAATCCCCCTCGCCCTCCCGACGCTGGATCTGTGGCTTCCTTCCTCGCCGGCACTCAAACAACAAGAATGGCCGGAGGGGAAGAGCATACGCTGGGAATGGCGGTATAAGATGGTGGATCGGACGGGGACGCTTCGATTAATGGGGTGGGAAACGGAGGAGTAGTCGCTTCACCTAGTCACTTCACTTCACCTATCACTGTATGTACACACTGTATAACCTCTGTATAACCTCTGTATATCATTTACAAACTCCACATAATCCAAGCTAGTACCTTAGGAACTTCTACGAAATGTCCCGGAAATATTAAGATATCATGCTCAGTTGATGATACGCATGCCAGAACCTGCCAGCAGCAAACAACCTACATCTACAATAACAACCCCCCATAGAAAAAGACCTTTGGATTCTGATTAACACACCAGAAGTATCAAGAAAGTTCGACACCCATAGGGCTATACACTCCGTAACCATGCGATGGTTGAAAAGCCCCAAGAACCCAGCCCCCAGAAAATCAAACCCCGCCATTGCCCCCAGACTCAAAAAAAATCAAAGACACGGATGCTATGCCCCATCCAACAAAACAATGCCCTATAGACACATAGACACACACAAGAAAAGTTGTTCAAGGAAAGACTCAGGTCGATGCACCAGTTCGATGAACAAGAAAATCAGGCGATTGGCCTGATGGTGACACAAGACAGAAAATATCTACTCACTCGCCTTCAGCAAGGCAACGGCCGCCTGCTGCGCACGCAACCCTCCCACCTCACGCTTTAGTCGGAAATTCTCCTTCTTCAAGCGGCCAATCTCCTCCAGCGCCGACGACAGCTGCGACTTCAGCGACTCTTCCCCGTTCCCCGTCCGCATGTCTTTGGCGATCTTCTCCAGCTCCGTGTTGAACCGATCATACAGAGCCTCGTTCTCGGCGCTGGCCTCCCGGTAGAGCTCGTCCAGCTTCTTGGCCCGTCGCTCACTCACCACCAACGATGACTCCAAGTCTCTTTCGATCGAGGCAGTCCGGCCATTCATCTCCTCCGAGAACGTCTCGAATCTCGTCTCGAGGCTACGGACCCGGGAGGCCAGCGCGGCGTTGGCGGTCGAAGGGGCAAAAGGCTCGTCAAGGGAGTGCAGCTTGCCATCGCCCTTGTACGGCGTCGGGTTCAGTCTCAATGCATTGAGTTCCGCGCCGATAAGCTCGAGCTCATCCTTCAGTCCCAAGGAAGCGATATTTTGGGCCTTCTTCTCGCTGTTGAGGCGATCCCGGAGCTGCAGCTGTTAGAAGAGTACCACACACAACATAAGAAAAAGCTCACCTTCTGTGGGCTCTGCAGACGTAGTTTCGGCGTCTTCTGTGAGCCTAGGGTCGGTTGTAAGCGTCTCGCGTCGGAGCCATTGATCTGCATCGGTCGCTCCTTCAAGCCAGGCACTCTAGAGGAAGGGATGCTGGTTGCCCGCGATCGTCTCTTGATATCCGGGGGAGGAGAGCCCGTTGCGTCGGCCTTCTTTCTCGGGGCCCGGTCGGTTTGCGGTAATTTGGGGTCAATATTCTCCTTGCGACTGGGTGTGACGGGGCGGGTCGGGGATCGGCGGGTTGGAGACGCCAGCCGCGTGGGCGAGGCACTCTTTGCAGGGGACGTGCTGCGGACCGAGCCCGAGCCGTGACTTGTTTGCGGCCGTGTCTGGCCCGCTGGCGTCATCGCCTCCGCTCGCGGCTGGGTGGGAAGCGACGATGACGGAGTCATGGGTCTCTGTCCTTGGCTGGTAGATAAGATCGACACGTCAGATGACGCCGTGCCTGGTCTGATGTCGGACAGAGAACTCCGCCGTCTCCTCCTGATCCTTACCACCCCATTAGTTGAAATACCTCGAATTGAGGATAACGAGGAAGCCTCATCCTGAGAGCTTCCAGGACGACGAAGATGCTCCTGTGATGTGGATGCACCCGGGCGATCGCGGGAGCCTGGCCGCAGTAACGAAACCAGCCCCGTGTCGACATCGATGGACTTGGACCGGAGCAGCAGTGACCCGCGCGGCGTCCCGGGCTCAGAATCGCCCGATCCTTTACTTTTGCTCAGCGTTCGCAAAATGGACGACACTTTACTCTCTGTTTCCGACTTGGAGTTATCGCGGTGCAGGCTGAATCCGAAACGCTTCCGAAACGACGACGCATTGGAGTTCATCGAGCCTGCCGTCTGGGACACCGATTTGGTTTGGTCACAATTGAGCGTGCCTTCCAAGTCGGCGCCTCCGGGGATATATTCGTCAAACAAATTATCAAAGTCATCGACAAGACGATCCAACAGGGAGATGTACTGCATCGGATCTCCTTCGACCGTCAGGACCTCTGCAAAGGCTGCCGTTAACGCACCACGGTCGCCGTCATTCCCCGAGGCATCAAGAAGCTCTGCAAGCAACCGAATCATAGAAGCGAGCGCACGGCGATTTTGGGGGCTCATGTCGGCAAGAAATCTGCGGAAGCTCTCCTCGAAATCTCGCGGGAACATGCTGTCAAATTGGCTCTGCAACGAGTTCAATGAAGACGAATCAATTACGGGCCCCATGTGTTCGCGCCATGCATTGGCCATGAACGTCTCAAAAGCCACGAACAATGTATCGACCGACACCTCGGCCGCAGCTTGGATCTTGCCGGGGTCTTCCAGGAGGATATTGTACAGCTCATTGACGGACGAGCGGTCCACGTTGTCTCGGCCACGTAGAGAGCGTCCAACAATGTTTCCACTCCGCGATTGCAGGGCGAGAGCGAACGCGGCAAAGGTCTGCTCCAGGGCGCTGAACGGGCTTTCCTGCCCCCTCGAAGGCGGCGCGCCAACCACCGAAATCTTGACCGGACTCTCTTCCTTCCCTGGAAACGCCGAAGGCAGCGTATTGGAACGCGGAATATTCCCTCGAGGCGGCGGCATGCGAGGGAATTCCCCCAGCAGCGCTGCTGAGCTGGGCATTTTTATGCTGCCCGCGCTGTGTTCCTTGGGTTGGTGGCTTCCCAGCAGACTCGACAGTAGCTTCGAGGCTGATGGCGGTCGGAATCCCCGCGGGACCTTGAAATTGGCCATGAGATGACCGGCGAGATACCGCAGAATTTCGAAGTTGGAATGCACTATCGATTCAGTCATCGTGCGGTTCTGCGGGCCATGCAGCGGGAGTAGCACATTGGACACTAACTGCGGTCAGCAAACAATCTCACGTGCAGGTATTGATTATACTTACGGCGCTTAGACAGTACTGCAACGAAGCTGTCCGCGGTCACAAGATCGGAGGATGCATGGCCCACGACGGAGTCAATGTCCACGCGAAACTGGTCCTCGCTCGACACGGAGACCGACACAATAACCTCAAGATCGGAATTTGATAATGTTTGGCTGCAGACTGCGCGGGGAGTATTGAAAACCATCCGGATTTTCGATGCACTGGGTCTTTTGGCGGCCGTCTCCTCCTCCTCGAACACACATGCCAAAACACCAAGATTGGCCACCGTCCCGGATGGACTGCGCAATGTCCACTTTCCATTCTCCCGCTCACTTTCTGAGAATCGACCTTCGATCTTGGCCTTCACAATCTCCTCGATGATGCGACTGGCGCGTCCTTCATACATGGACACGGGCTCCAGCGCAAGCAAGTCGACGGTGGTGTTTTGATTGGGTCGCGACTTCACCGACATGGGCGCCAGGAACAGAATACGTCCACAGTTAGACTGCATGCATCGAACATTGTGCAGATCATACACTTGGACCACCCGCAGCTCGGGTACCAATGGAATATTGGTGGCTGCCGGAGTGGCTGATGCGGCGTTGTCCAGGTCCGCCAGGAGACCACGCGCGGTTGTTCGACCTCCCATCGCTTTAGACAACAACACCAGGCAGTTCTTATAAATCAGCATGATCCCCGGGCTGGGCTCCTCTGCAAGATCGAGATGGTACGGAGGCGACAGCTCGTTGAAATCCACCGCTGTGATGAGACGGCCGGCTGGCAGTATGGTGGATGGCCAGCCGTCGACCAGCTCCTTCAGCCGCCGGAAACTCTGATCATGGTTGGCGGTCGAGGCATCGTCGAGGGAGCAGATGTCTTTGATGACATCACGCGCCTTCAGCAGTGGGCGCACGGCCGGGTGTACCAACGGCAGACTACTGGTCATGGTGTCGATGAGGAGACTATATCGGGGTAAACGCTGGACAGGCTCCATGAGGAGTGAGCGGAGTTTCTGTTCCCCGGTCTCGTATACGCGCTTGGAGAAACTGGAATTTTTATCTTTCATGAACGAGTTCAACGTCTGAGTGAAGCCGGTATGGGCCCGCATGTAGTCCGCATACGGCTCGGAGAATTGTGGGAACCAGTCCAGGAGTGCGTCCGCAAATGCCACAGCACCGATAGTGTCTTTGTCCTCCTTGGACGATGTCCGCTGCGACATGGACGATGAAAGCTCCGTATCTTCAGTCATATCTGCAATGGCGTCCTTCTCTGTCTCTTCCAAGACTTGACGAATCACACTCAAAAAACCCATGTTCACCTGAAGGATTTCATTCAAGCACGGGGGGAACAGAGTCGCCAAATCAGCCTCGTCCGGACTCGTACTCGATGACAGGCGCAATTGTGCTTTCATTCGGTATTCCTCCGCCACCTGGCAGACGAGGGTGTAAAGCTTGTTGACGTAGCGCTCCTCTGTATCCACCAGCTCGCACATGGTCAATCGCAGAGCCTGTTTTTGACTGGCGGAGAATATCTTCGATTTGCTCACGTTGGTTGGCTGGGAAGGTGCGCGCTTGAGTCGGGAGGTGGGAAGGAACATGGGGGCGCCCAGGGTCTGAATAAGGGCGGTATATGGGCCGTATCGGAGGTCGGGGCCGTCATAGAAGTCTGCATTACCATCATAAACATTATCATCATTATCGGGCTCGGGAGCTTTGATCGTCCCGGCGGGCAAAACGACATCGATATCGACCCAGGGCACCTTGCGCTCCTGAAAGGCGCCTCGGATGTCGCGCACCAACTCGGAGGCATGTTCAACTTTTGTCATTCGATTCGCCAAATCGGCCGCATGCATCTCGTCGAAGAGTTTGGGAACCTTGACACCTGGTTTCCCTGCGCGAGCCATGGCCTGGAGGCATTCTTTGGCTGGGTCGGACAGCTCTGCGAAGTACTTCAGCATGCTGACGGCCAGGCCGCGACTGACCTCGTCGCCTTGCTTCTCGCGGGGCAGGTGGTTGACGGCGGCGTACAGCGGGGCGGCGGGAGAAATGGTGATGCGGGGATAGCTGTGGAAGCCGGCGGGGGTCACGATATGCGCCTGGATGCGCGAGCTGCTGACGGTGGCATTTGCGGTCGCGACGGGGCCGTAAAAGACGAAGACGGAGGCAATGTAGGGGTCGGAGGCGTGGTAGAGCGACAACTGCTCGAGCGGCAGGTCCGCGGGGGCGTTGGTGACAGTCGCCATGTTGGCGGAGATGGCAGGAGCTGAAATCGCATACAACCGCGGGCGGAGGAAGGAGCGAAATCACACAAGCACGACAAAATTAGATTAGACACAAAAGTATAAGTCTGCAAATGATTATAGATGATGATGACAAGAGAAAATGTTGAGACGGTTAGTCACGGCAGTTGGTG